CTTGACTGGAATCGAACCTGGGACCCTTCAGTCCGAAGGCTGATGCTCTGTCCACTGAGACAAACTGATTAGGGCTTAAGTGCATTCTTTTTTTTTTAAAATATATTTTATTGATTTTTTACAGAGAGGAAGGGAGAGAGAGATAGAGAGTTAGAAACATCGATGAGAAACATCGATCAGCTGCCTCCTGCACACCTCCTTCTGGGGATGTGCCCGCAACCCAGGTACAAGCCCTTGACCGGAATCGAACCTGGGACCTCTCAGTCCGCAGGCTGACGCTCTATACACTGAGCCAAACCGGTTTCGGCTAAGTGCATTCTTGATTCAAAGTTTCACTGAAGAAGCTTCCAATCAATGGACCAGTTTGATTTTGTAATTAGTACACAGTATCTACTGTTTTGGTGTTGTTTTGAGGACCAAATCTCAAAGTGGATTTTCTTGAACAGTATCCAAGTAGATTTGATGATATATGTGTTGGTTTGAGGTCTAATTTTTTTCTAATACATTTAAGATTTCTATTTAATGTTGAAAAACTACACAAATTGTGTATGAAACAAATCTAGAAAAATAAAAACTGTAGATTAAATAGTAATTTAAATTTATCCTATTATATTATGATAGAGGAGGATAAACTTTTGGTGCCATAATTTCTCTCTTCATGATGGTGTTGGACTTAAATAATGTGAAATGTATTTCTGTACCACAATTTAAGCTTCAATAAAAGTTTGTTTGATTTTTTTTAAAAAAAAGAAAGAAAAATTGCTCATAAGAGCCTGCCTAGAGTTTGGTGGAGAGAATCTGTTAGTATGACCATCCCAATCTCTAAATATTCCTTTGACCTAATTTTTTTTTTTTTAAGTTTCTGGTCTTTTAAAAAAATGTCTAAGAATATGGTCTATGATACCAATTCTTTGAAATGTATTGAGACCACTTTATAGGCTAGCATGAGGTCATTTCTCCCCATCCCCGACCCCAAACCCAAGTAAAAGTTTATTTAGAAAGTCACAGAGCCCTGATCAGTTTGGCTCAATGGATAGAACATCAGCTTATAGACTGAAGGGTCTCTGGTTCGATTCTGCTCAAGGGCATGTACCTTGGTTGCAGGCACATCCCCAGTAGGGGGTGTGCAAGAGGCAGCTGATCGATGTTTCTTTCTCATCGATGTTTCTAACTCTCTATCCTTCTCCTTTCCTTTCTGTAAAAAATCAATTAAACATTTTTTTTTTAAAAAAAGAAAGTCACAGAGAAGCCCAGCTGGTGTGGCTCACTGGTTGAGCATTGACCCATGCATGGTTCGATTCCTGTCAGGGCAAATGCCTGGGTTGGGTTGTGGGCTGGACCCCTAGTAGGGGGTGTGCAGGAGGCAATTGAACTTTTTTAAAAAGTCACAGAGGTAGAAGTGAGCCAGCTGGGTTGCATGGGCTTAGGAAACAAGTTACAGAGGCCAAAGAAAAGGAAAAAGTTTAGGAGAAAGAAAGCTTTTAGGGAAGAAAGGGGGAGGAAAGGCGCAAACATGCTGGAGAGAGAGTGCCGCATGCAGTCATTTTTCAATTACCTTCTCTACATCTAACAATATTTTTTGTCTTAACTTTTAAAAATCTAAATATCACTATAATAAATTTTCTGTGGTTAATATCAGAAATATATCCAACTTTCTAATTTAAGATTTGTATATCCTTATGTTTTAGCATATAGCCAGATTTTTAAGAAATCTAGTTGGACAGTATTTTTCTTTTATTTGGAAAGTTCAGTACATGTGTACATGTAGTGATTACTGATAGACTTTGACTTATTGCTAACATTTTATTATGTACTTTTTATTTGTCTGAATTGTTGTTTCTGGGTTGTTGGGTTTTTTGTTTGTTAATTTGTTTCCTTCTCCCCTTTCCCTGATCAGGCCTAAACCGGCAGTCGGACATCCCTCTCGCAATCCAGAACTGCTGGCTCCTAACCGCTCACATGCCTTCCTACCTGCCTGATTGCCCCTAACCATTCTGCCTGCCAGCCTGCTTGACCCCAACTGCCCCTCTGCTGGCCTTCTCACTCCAAAATACCCCTCCCCCCGCTGTCCTGATTACCTCCAACTGACCCCCACTGATGGCCTGCTTGCCCCCAACTGGCTCCGCTGCTGGTCTGCTTACCTCCAACGGCCCCATCCCCCACTAGCCTGATCACCCACAACTGCCTTCCCCTCTTGGCCTCTCAGCACCTCTACCTTGGCCCCGCCACCATGGCTTTGTCCAGAAGAACATCTGGAAGGTCTCCTGGAAGGTCTCCCAGTCTAATTAGCATATTATTCTTTTATTAGTATAGATATATTTGTCTGTAAATATGATAATGATTGCATATATGAGTAGGACCAGGTAAAATGTTATAGAATGGGCCTTTTATTATAGATGGTTTGCCATGTATGCATTTTTTCTAAAGAAGTAAAAATTACTATAAAATATGTTTCAGGAAGACTTTGAGAAATTTACAGTATCTGCTTTTCTTTCTGTTTTTAAGTCACTTTTATGCCAGAGTGAGAATTATTTGTATGCTTTGTATGTCAGCATTGGGCCTCTGTGACTGTGGGGCACTTAGCTTGACTTGAGAGTAATTATCTTGCTCACTGGCTGGAAGGGAGGGTGGGTGGCAGAGGAGATAAATACTTGGTTCTGGATTATTCATAGATTGCTGACTTTCGGGATTGATTGTGCAAGCCCCTCCTTTTATTGATGTCCACCTTCTGTTGACAGACATCTACACTGGGAGAGA